CGCCTTCCTGGGCGCTGCGGCAGGCTGCGAGCAGCCCCTCATGGAGCTGCTGCTCAGCCACGGCAAGGTGAGCGTGCTCGACGGGGCCCCGTGCGCGGCGCCGCTGCCTCATGCGCAGCTTCTGCCACGTGGAATAAAGTGCCCTCTGTGCCTCTGTGCGTTCTGTCGTGCTGCCCGAATTCTCCCCCTCTTGTGGCGTTCGATGCCCCACATCTCGGCGCCCCAAACTGCCCTTTGTGCCCAGGGGCTCCGGGATGCCCTTTCCTGCGAGCCTGGAAGCAGTTTCCGCCACCCACAGTGAAAACCTGCCCCTTTCTGAGCTCTACAGCAGGGTCCAGTGTGCGGATGCAGAGCCCATGTGCCCACAGGCTGCCACTCTCCCCCGTTTCACTCCATTTCTCAGCCCAGCTGCTGCCTCGGGGCATCCTTGGTAGATGCCGGGTGCTGTGGCAAGTACCCAGGGCCACAGTGGCCACGGGGCGCTGGGCACCGGCCTGGCTGTGCCCCTAGCCCTGCTCTCAAATGCTTGGATCCACCCCGCCATGCCTCCCCTCTCCAGATTCCTGTCCTCATCGGGGAGCTCATCACCGTGGAGCTGTGGAAGCACAAGGTCTTCCCGGTGCTGTGCCGGCTGGAGGACTTCAAGCCTGTGAGCACCTTCCCCATCTACGTGGTGGTGAGTAGGGTGTTCCAGAGTGGATAAAAAACCTATAGCCACTGTGACTTGATACCTGCTGGGCTGCAAAGCTGAGGGAAGCACCTGCTTTCTCATTCCTGGCACAGGAGTGATCTTGGGAATGTGGCTGCTCGATGCAGGGATGCAGCTCCTGAGCTTGGACAATCTGCCCAAACCTGGGAGATGTTTCCGTGCTCTCAGCCCGGGTAACGTCTCCCTAGGGAGAGGTGATGTCTCTGCTCTTGCTCTGTGGCATTGCCTTGGGGCAGTTATCCCGCACTTCCCAGCCTCAGGAGACGCCGCTCACACTGCCCAGAGCGCTGCCTCATCTCGGCTTTCGGCCCTAACTGCATAACTATATAAGTAGCTTCTTAAAAGACCCCTGTGCGCAGTCCCATTGCCCTCGGATGCTGGGACCTGCTCCACACCGTGACCTCGCTCCTGCCGTTTTGCTCCCGCAGCTGCACCACGAAGCTTCCATCATTAATCTCCTGGAGACGGTGTTTTTCCACAAGGTAAGCGGCACGTTCGCTTTCTGTAGCCCGGAGCACCTGGGGATGGAAGGCTGCACCTGTGGCTGCGGGTGACTGTGGGTGCCACCATCTTGGCCCCAGACTTGCACTTTGGGAACGTGCCGTGTGGGTGGGCAGTGGGCCCCGCAGCGCTCTGGCTTGGCCACTGTAGAAAAGGCAAAGATGTGGGCGGGGAAGTGAGCTTTAGAGACACCCTTCCCCTCGTCGCACAGGAGGTGTGCGAGGCGGCCGAGGACGCCATCCTGGACCTCATCGACTACTGCCATCGGAAGCTGACCCTGCTCGCAGCTCGCGGTGCCAGCGCGCGGCCTGGCACACGGAGCCAGCCGGGGACTCTGGCCAGTCCCTCGTCCATGCAGGTGAGGGGTGATGCTGCAGCCCATGGAGGAGAGCTGCTCCCGTGGAGGGCCTGGGGACTGCTCTTGCATCTGGGATTTTGCTTCTCCACGCCCCGAGTTTCTTCCCTAAACTGTGTCGCAAAGACTGTCCGAAAGAGCGGATTCGAAGTGACGGCCTGCAGGCTCGGCCGGATCCCTTGGCTCGCTGCCCAGGCATGTGCTTCCCTTCCAGAAAAGGGAAGGAAGCAGAGGGCTTCTGAGCACAATAGGGATGTTTTCCAGGAAATGTGTTCCCAGCTGGGGGGTCTCTGCTAGGGCTTTGACTTACTAAAGGAAGGAGGATCTTTCTTTGCTCGTGTGCTTCTGAAAAGCGCTTGTCTCCGAGGAACCTGGTTTCCTCTTGTTCACCCCAGCCCCTGGTAACTCTTTGTGCAAAAACCCTGTGCTAAACAGCCGCTAAACAGTGCTAAACCCTCTCCCTTGTGCTGGAGCCTCCTGTCCTTTATGGCCCTGTGCTTTGGCCCCTGGGGGCCGACAGAGGCCTGGGATCCGAGCGAGCGCTTGCTTCCCTGCAGGAGCTGCAGGAGCAGGCCGAGACGATGGAGTTTGAGATTTCCCTGAAGGCCCTGTCCGTGCTGCGCTTCATCACCGACCAGGTGGCCAGGTGGGTACCCAGGAGCCCTAGAGCACACGTGGCCGCTCGAGGTCCCCGTGGGGACACAGCCCTGCGCTTCGTTCAGCAGCGGTGATGGTGGCACTGTGCCCCAGGAGGCAAATGCAGCGCTCCTCCCCGCTCTGTGGTGCTGTGGGAACCTGGGGCTGCTCTGTTACCGTGTTTTTCCTGCCTCTCTCGGGAGGCAGATGGTGAAAACGCGCCCAGGTGCCTCGGGGAGCGTTTGTGTCTGCTGTGGCATTTGGGCACTGCGTCACCCTCCCGTTTCACCTCCAGCTTGCCCCTGAGTGCGCTGACTCGCCTGCTGAGCACCCACAACGTGCCCTGCCTCCTGGTCGAGCTGCTGGAGCGCTGCCCCTGGAGCTGCCGCGAAGCGGGTAGGGACGGTGTCCTGGGGCTCCTCGCTCTCCTGCCTCCTTTCCAGCCTGCTGCCCTTGTTCCCTTCTGGTGCTCCCTGCCTGGAGCAGGTCGGCAGCTGCAGCACGGCTGGACTGAGGGGTCTAGCAGCAATCCCCAAAGCTGATCCCTGTCTCGTCTCATCCAAACGAGAGCCTTGTCTCATCCAAACGGATCACAGCTAGGGCAGGAGTCCAGCACGTCCACCAGCCTCCCCTACTCCTCCGAGAAGTCATGTCCTGCACACAAAAAGGCCAGGGCTGTTTAAGAACACTGAACAGCAGTTTATCACCTCCCTCTCCCTGGAAGGAGCCAGCAAAACTTGACTTCCAGAGAGATGTAATGGTCTCAAACACCAACACACACACGTGGGTGGCTTTGGGGCAGAGCTGGCCTACCTGCCTGCACTGGTGCTCAGTGACTCGTGGCCGAGCGTGACCGTGGAGGCAGCACCTACGCAGGCAGTCCCAGCCCTCTGCCCCTTTCTGCAATGTGACGGGTTTGGAGCCCAGGTTCCAAACCTGGAGCCTGGCTTGGAGCCAGGCTCTGCCTGGCAGCAAACCCAGTGCCCTGCGGCTGCTGCTGCTGAACTTCACGCCTGCCCCGCGCCTCTGCTCACGTTGTGCATTCCCAGGAGTGACACCTGCGCTGTCAGCGCTGCCTCCTGCCCCTCCGCGGCCAGGCCTGTCCCTGTCCCCTGCCGTGGGCTCCCCGAGCAGCTCCCCAAGCTGCTGGGGACAGTTTGCAGCCCGGAGCGTGGGAAGCACCGCGCAGCCCTCGCGAGGGGAAGGGGCCTCGGCAGGCGGTGAGAGCACGGGCAGGAAGGAAGCACTAGGGAAGGCGCCGCTGCGCGTCCGCGGGAGCCCAGCCAGAGGGGCCGCTCACCTCCCCGCTCCGGCCAGGAAGCGCGGCCCTTCTCTTCCCCATGTGCATGGGGCGTCAGAGGGGCCTCTGATCCCGGGCCCCCAAGGAAGCACTGGGAAGAAAGGAGTGCAAGGGCATTTCCACACTGTGCAGGTATGGGGCTGCGCCTTCCTCCCTCCCCCAGGGCAGCACAGCTGTTCTTGGAGCTTGTTTTGTCCCTCTGGTTACATCTGTGCTCCTTCGGGACTTCCCTGAGGGCAGAACCTCCCAAATGGCAGGTCCTGGCTATGCTGACATCCCCGAACCAGGAGCAGAGCCCCGGCCAGCATCCCCGCTCCGCACTCTCTTTCCTCAGGCAGCTCTGCCTCTCCTCGCAGCTTTGCGTTGTTCCGTCCCCCAGGTGCACTCAAGAAGTTTGAGAACGGAGCGTGGCACGCGGTGCCGCCGGAGGACCAGCTGAAGATGACCAAGCTGGACGGGCAGGTGTGGCTGGCCCTCTACAACCTGCTGCTCAGCCCCGAATGCCGCTGCAAATACCACTTCGACGGCTTCAACAAGAGCCAGCTCCTCAAGGTAGGGCCCTGCAGCGCAGAGCAGGACCTCGCCAGCACTAGGCCCCTCTGGGCATCTCTGCCTATCACCAGCTCTGCCCGCAGCCTTGTAACCCGGTTCTGGCTCCCTTATCTCACCCTCTCCTCCTCCCTCACCGGCTGCAGCTCCGGGCCTTCCTGACGGATGTGCTGCTCGACCAGCTACCCAACCTGGTGGAGATGCAGAGATTCCTGAGCCACCTAGCAGTGACAGAGCCTGCTCCCCCCAAAAAGGATCTTGTCCTGGAGCAGGTATCCCATTTCCTTAGGCTCTTCCTTCTCTCCAGCTGCTCTGATTTGAAACTACTAAGGCCCAAGCACTTGTTTCACTCCTATCCCCTCGCTGCCATCTCCTCCTGGCTCGCCTTCCTCCCCGATCTTTTCCTACCCTTCTGGACAACCCTCATTCCGCTACAGCTGTGGCCAAGCAGGGAGGAAGGTGGCCACGGCTCATGACAAAAACATGGAGTTACAAACAACTGTTGAGACTGCAGCAAATCTGTGGGCTGGTGGCTGCGCGCACCGGAGACCGCTGCTCGCTTGGACAATTAACCCTCTGCTGAGCGTTTGTGCCACTTCCCTGTTGCCTTCTGGAGCTCTCTTGGCCAGGAGAGCCGCCAAGGAAAGGCCCTTTTCCCTGTGGCTCCTTCTCCCCTTGCTGCCTGGCTATTTTTACTCCGCTGGAGCTGCCAACATCTTCCCCTCCAGAGCCTGAACTCCCTCCGCTGCTCTTGGCCGGTGCTTTCCCTTTCACGCTGCTCCAGCCCTTCCTTTGCCTGGGGCTTGTGTTCAGGGAAGTGATGAATGGAAAAATCTGCTCAGGCGCAAGGCTCGGGAGCACCGAGTTCAAGCTATGGCTGGAGTCCCAGCTCTGCAGAGTGGCGGGAGCTCAGGGCTTTCTGCGGAGGATCCCAGGCCTCGGGGCTGAATTCCTGATCCCGAGCAGATCCCCAAAGCTTTGGCTTGTTTCATCTCGATGCTTTTTGCCTCTGCTTGGCACATGGGTCTGCCAGAGCCTCCTGCCTCCCTTCTGCCCAAGTTCCCCCGTATCATGGCGTGCTCAATCCCACGCCGAGCACCACGGCCTCGCTGCTCCAGCTCTCCCGCCAGGTCCCTGCCATCCGGGAGCACCTTCTCAAGAAGAACGCGGGCAAGTGGGAGGCCATTGCCAAGCACCAGGTGAAGTCCGTGTTCAGCCCCACTGCAGAGGAGCTGAGACTCCAGGCGCGCAGGTAAGAAACTCCAGGCTCTCCTGCCCTCTTCCGCTGCTCCCTGCATACAGGAGGCTCCAGGGAGCAGCCTGGCAGAGCTGGACACAGAGCAGGGTCCATCTGTCTCCTCGGGGACAGCCAGGACGGCTCCCTGCTCCCCGGCAATCCCCCTTGTGCTCTCACCTCTCTGCCCGCTGCAGGTGGGCGCAGACCTACAGCCTGGACATGATGGAGGCTCTCGTCCCCGACAAGCCCCGGTGCCGCGTGTGCGGCGTCGAGGCGGCCAAGCG